GAGAAAAAATACAAACAAAATGTATATATTAGACTAGGATATCAGGACTGTTTATAGTAAACTAGGATATCAGGACTGTATATAGTAAACTAGGATATCAGGACTGTATATATTAAACTAGGATATCAGGACTGTATGTATTAAACTAGAATATCAGGACTGTATATAGTAAACTAGGATATCAGGACTGTATATATTAAACTAGAATATCAAGACAAGGACGGTTGAACAAGAATAGGTTTCCCATAAGCAGCTGTTCCTGGTATACCTGGTACACGAGAGATAAGTTCAGTTTTTACGAGCTAAACTTACATTTACTCCGTCCTAGATCAACTGATAAATATTTGCTTAAATAAAATTGCTTTCAACCCCTTTATCTTAAGTTCTATCTGCGTCCTAGGACTGTATATTTCCAAACCGTCTCCCCTGGACCGTCTAGATGAATTTATAAAGAATATGATAAGACAGACTGCCACTGTAATATCATTAACAAATTAGTTCCCCCTCTTTAGACTTGATAAATGTAAAAATGACACTAAACGTTTCCCCAGATTTATTTAAAGCTTTAGCTCGTGTACAGAGCATAAACATATCTGTAATTCATTAAACAAACCGAGAGAGGGAATGGGGGAGACCTCCCATATGTTTTCCATATTTTCATCTCGTTATTCTTGAACAAATTTTTGATAAGATTTACGAGGAACGCGGTATGAGAAAAATATTACATCATTTGAGCCAAATTTGACGGTGATATTGAATCCGACACCTTTGAACCGTGTCCTGGAGTCAGAAACATTTAAAAATTTCAATTTTAGAAATTTAGAATTTTCTTCCATTAGTCTCTGGACCTTCAAGGTTTTCAACCCTGGACCCCAAACCTGTTCATGATACATTACTGTATTCTAAACATATCCTGGATACAATTCTGTATTTTTAACCGATCCTGGATTACATAATTTTTTATATTTCCTAAATCCGGAACACGAATAAATTCTCTTATCCTATATTTATTCAGAATACATATGTAGAAATATCCTGTATCCTTATAAACTAGATACTTGATAGATGAATGTATCCAGATGCATAAATGTATTCTGTATTTATCCTAGATACACGAATTTATCCTGTATCTATTCTAGATTTAGAAACGTATCCTGTATTAATTGTATCCTGTATCAATCCTATATACATGAATTTATCCTGTATCTATCCTAGATACATGAATGTATCCTGTATCTATCCTAGATACATGAATTTATACTGTATCTATTCTAGATACATGAATGTATCCTGTATCTATCCTAGATACATGAATTTATCCTGTATATATTCTAGATACATAAAAGTATCCTGTATTAATCCTAGATACATGAATTTATCGTGTATCTATTCTAGATTCATAAACGTATCCTGTATCATTCCTAGATACAGAAATGTATCCAGTATCTATCCTAGATACATGAATGTATCCTGTATCTATCATAATTTATGAAATTATCCTGTATCTATTCTAGATACATAAAAATATCCTGTATCAATCCTAGATACATGAATGTATCCAGTATGTATCCTAGATACATGAATTTATCCATTATCTATCCTAGATACATGAATGTATCCTGTATCTATCCTAGATACATGAATGTATCCTGTATTTATCCTAAACCTGGACACTTTTATCTCTCCCTGACACCTGATTCGGCGCCAGGGTTTCCGTTGATCCCGGAATACCAACCTCAACCTCTCTAACCTCTCAACCTCTCTCCGAACCTCAGAGGAACATTTCTCAATAGATACAGGATTCAAATAAAGCTGGATATCTGATATTCTTTTCCTTTTTCAATTCAAAATTATGAATCCTCTCTCTCAGGACGGAAAATGACCTTCTAATGAATTGTATCCGTACCCAAACTCGTGGGAAATTTAAAAATCTCCGACCAAACTCCATACACTATAATTAAACCCTCCTCAGCAATTATATTTTGCTTACGAACCCAGATCATATCATTTGGTCTGATAAACAATTTGTTTTATTATTTCCGTCCTTGTATATATAAACTGCCAGGTTGTATCTAGGACCGGAGTTTTGCAAATTTATATCAGATCAAATCTTCCTGTCAACCCTATATTGAAGGGTGAGTCGAATTTAAAAAAAAAGATTAGAATCAAAGAGTTAAATTTAATAAATTTATTCACAAGAAATTGTGGATGCTCTGCACCCTTTTTGTGGTTTGGTTCTTAATATTTGTCCCTGGGGTATAAAACTGATTCAAAATACATAGATGTGAAAATTACCTTACGCAGAGTTTGATCGCCGATTCAACAAACAATAGCAAGATATTTTCTAGGTTTGGGGTTGCTCAGCTCAGCTTAATTTATAGATATTCGTACATATCCATATACTGTAAACTTTACATAGATGCATTATAAAATAACTTATAAATTACTAAACATTTAACCATCCACCCACTCATTGGCCCACACTTTACCCCCAAGTTCTATCTGCGTCCTAGGACTGTATATTTCCAAACCGTCTCCCCTGGACCGTCTAGATGAATTTATAAAGAATATGATAAGACAGACTTTTAATCCTTGATCTTGCCCTGTATTTGAAACCTTCAATATCCGCTCCTCTCTCCATAGATAAGGGTTCACTTAGAGCCACTTAATTCCTATTTGCATTATCAAAACAACCTTTTTGTTGAGATCATTTCAACTCTAATCTCGTTTAAATGAGAGCACTATTAAACAAAGATATGGAGAAACAAACTGATAAAACCGTCGGATGATATATTTGAGAGTTCAACTTGAAACGTCGGAATATTTTGAGAAATAAAATTTATGCGAAAACGTTTTAAATGTTTCCTGGAGCGTGGATAGCAGAACAATTAGTTGGTTTCTTCTCCTTTACTTCCTTTTATCTAGGTTTTGCAACTCATCATAACTTATTTACAACAGTTCTATACTTTTAGTTTCCAACCAAAACCAGCCTTTTCATACAAACAAGGATACACACACTTTTAGAGGTCATGGATATCAAAACTTATGTAATGAACAAGGATATCAGGACTGTATAACCAAGACTAGGATAGCAGGACTGCATATATTAAACTATGATATCAGGACTGTNCTGTACATATACTTTTATACATATATGTCAATCTATGTACACTGTACATACACTTTTATACATATATGCCAACCTATGTACACTGTACATATACTTTTATACATATATGCCAATCTATGTACACTGTACAATGAACAGTTTAAAAAAATATAACAAGAAAAGTCTGCGATAAGATGTTTGTTGCTCGGTGAAATTAAGAGAAAGGTTCAGGTTATCTTGAATCTGGAAATATTTAAAGTATTCTTTGAAAATCTCATTTTCAATGCACCGTTAATATTTGCCGGCTCGGAGAAAAAATACAAACAAAAAACTGCATTTTTCTTCGAAGATAAACAATCTTGAGATGCAAATATAGAAAATCTACCAATACACAGATACTGCAGGATGTCTTGGAGGATATTAAGATCCCTTTTTCAATCATTTCATTTCATTTAATCCTTCTTATTAAAAGCTACTACTGAGACAATCTTTGATGACAATTATACTGATTCTGAACTATAATCAGCAGCTGATGATAAACCTAGGTCGCGGAGTTGGATATATTCTAATCCCGGAGTAGAGACGGATAAACTCGTGACTAAACCTTGTCTCTCCGGGTGGTCCCTAGAGTAGAGAGGATGAATAATGCTGGGTCGTGGATAGGTTTTCATCAAACTTTAATCTTCTCAGCGGTTTAAACTTTTTTTCGAATCATCTTTCAGTTTTAACTGATAAACGACAATGATTTAATTTATCTTTTTCTAATTTTGTTTTAATTTAAGGTTGGTGGGGGGGAGAGAAAGGGGTCCA